ACACACACACACAATAACTTCTTTATCCTGCCGTCTCTGGATGGACGTTTAGGATGCTTCCATGTCTTGGCTGTTGTAAACAGTGCCGCTGCGAACATGGGGGTGCATGTATCTTTTCGAATTAGAGTCTCCTCTTTCTGTATACAGCTGTATAACTGAGTCACCATGCTGTACACCAGAAACTAGCAAAACATTGCAAATCAATGATACTTCAATTTAAAAAAAAGCAACGAGCTAGATTCTGACGTTCAGCGACACGTGTGACTAGTCCACCAGGACTTCTGGCCAAAGCCCTCACCGGCACACCGGCTCCCAGGGTGGGAAGCGGCCCTGGTGGGGATGTACCACCCGCCCCGGGGACTACGCTGCATGCTGGCCAGCACTTCCCCAGATGGTGGCTCTACACAGCGTATGCTGGCACCGGGGCGTGAGCATTGGTGCCAACCCGTCCTGTTTCTTCTACCATTCTCCCCAGACGGGAGGCTCGCACCAGCCAAGAAGCGTGGCCGCCGTACCTTGATCACCTTGAAGCTCAGGAAGCTTCTGTGCAGCATGATGACCTTGTACTCGTCCGCGCCCTCGTCCACCACGTGCCGCAGGGTCAGCAGCTCCTCCTTGTTGGACAGTACGGCTCCCCGCCAGGCCGGGTCACCCTCGTGACAGATCACCACCTTCTTCTCAAAGGACTGGATGGCCTCATAGAGGACCACCGGGTCTTCATACTCGTCGGGGCAAGTGAACTGGTCCTGGGGAGGGAAGTCCATCCTGGGTCAGGAGGACCGGAGAGCCGGTCCCAGGTGGGTGTGCACGTGGCCACGAAGCCAGGGGCCTACAAGACCAAGTCCACCTCCACATCCCATGCTGCCCCTGAGCGGATGGATGGAGGACTTCTCCCCATCCCAGAGCCCTGGCTGCAGGGACATGCTCGGCGAAGAGCCTGTGGCTTAAATTTCTGTGACTTTTTGATACAGTGTGAGCACTTCAGATGTCATTTTCTCCGGCCACATCCCATCTTCCCTCCTAGGGGCTCTCAAGGGCAAATTTCAACTGGCGACACTGAGAATACGTGATGTCTGCATGCTTAGTAACTAAGTCACAAGCACGCTCAAGAATGTCATGCCAAGGAAGGGGATCGTATTTTTGAAAAGTTATTTTTTCCTCCAATGTTTCAGGCTGATTCTTTTTTTTTTTTTTTTTTTTAAGAGACGTTTACCTGGTGCAGCTTCAGGGACATCCTGAGAGCCGGGGCGACAACTTTGTGCAGCAGGTCGATGTCTGCAAACACCCACTCGTCTCGCGCTGTGATTCTGAAGTCACCTTTGAAGAGGGTGTGGAGGCCGTACAGGAAAGAATCCAGGCTGTGAAGCAAAGTCGGGTTACTGTGCGTCACAATGAGCAGAGGCATTCAGCGTCCTGTCACCTTGAGCTGGCCTGAGTCTCCCATGGGTCACCTCAAGAAGGACCTTACTATCTTTAGGCTGATGGGGCAGGAGTCCCACCTGCAGCCCACATTTGGACCCTCGTGACAACTGGTCGCCTTACAGAATAGCATTCAGTTCCTAGGTGTGATGGTGGAGGTGCTGGTCTGCGCTGGCCTGCCCTGTATGCCCTCAGAGTGATACTAAAATGCTGTCCCGCCTGGTCCAAGGGCTCCCGGGCCTCCACTTCTCAGGATGGGGGGCACGAGGAAGCCTGAGGAAGAGCCCAGGGCTCTCTTTTGTCTTGTCTGGGTTTCTGGATAGTACTTTGGGGCTGTATCACTCATAATAAAAACTGGACTCTACCAACATAAGGAGAGAGAAAATGAAGCCAAATGAAATCTCAAATTGGCCGTTTAGACTCTCAGGGAATATCCATCTCCCAATCCCATGCTTTCTTTTTTTTTAATTAGATTTTTTTTTACATTTTTTAAAAAATTGAATTATAGTCAATTACAATGTATCAATTTTTGAATGACTAGTGGAAGGGTGCAGTAGAGAGGGTTAAAATGAATGACCAAAGGATTTCTCAGGATTGTCCCTGTTTTTATGTTTCTAGGTTTTTCGGCTTTGCCTCCATTTCCTGCCTGTAATTGAGCGTTGCCTGGATGGAGAGCAGAGGAAATCTTTCACGGTCAGGATCCTTTACATTTTGGATCAATGCAGGGAATGGGTTTGGGAAAGCAACTCTTCCTGTATCGTGAGGCTGGGAACACCTGTTCTCCCATCATCCTTTCCTTCTATTTCCATTAATACGCTTGATCGCTGCCGCCTCTAACGACCCTGGCCTCTGACATCCCTGAGAGGGAGTGGGGGGGGGGAACGAGTACGAGAAACAGCATCCCTGATGGGGTCGAACTGCAACAGAAGGCCCAGGGAGATGTGCGTGGCAGAGAATCTCTGAGGATAGCTGCTCAGAAGGCTGCAGTGAGCGGGCTCACCGAGCAAGACTTTGGATTCCACACAGCACAGCAGACCCGCCCACCAGGGAGACGCTCCGCTGATTGCCGGTTTCGCACGTCATTGCGAAATGTTAATTCGCACTATCGTTAATTTCCTCCCAGAGCTCCGCTGGGAGAGACACTGAGGCTTGGAGTCAAAGCAGGCTGTGGGAAACGGAAGCAGCCAGGGTCTGCGTGACCTGGCAGGTGGAGCCGGTGCCGTGGCCTGCAGGAGCCCAGAACCTTCCAGGAGGAGTCCCAGGAGGCAGCTGCCCCGCACAGGCTCTCCTCTTCCTCCTTCCCCCCGCAGAACAAAGGCTTCCTGGGGCTGTGAGCTCTAGTGCTGAGAGGGGAGTGGTGGACGGCAGAGCCAGGCTGTAGCAGGGCAGATGTGGGGAGGGAAGATTTAAAAAGTATCCAGAAATTCATACTACACTGTAAACTGACTATACTTCAATAAAACAAACAAACGAATAAATACACAAATAAATTCATCAGATGGTGCTGTCCATGTCACTACAAATGCTCCCAAATGCCCCACCGTTATCAGAGAAGGGCAAAGTACTGAAAAGAGGGAGTTAAAAATGAGTGGGATATCTTCTGGAAAGGACCCGAAGAGCACCTCGCTGCTTGCACACACGTGTAGAGCGATCGCTCCTCTGGATGCAGGGCTGGGGATGGTGGCAGAGGAAGGAAGATGCCCAAGAAGCATGCGCAGACAGAGAGAAGGGCCAGGGTTCAGCCCGTGGTCGGCTGGGCGGTGTGTGCAGGGCAGCCCGGACCACTCACTCCGCGGTGGGGAGTACGCCCTTCCACAGGAGCCTCGCTATGCGCCTGCATCCCGTCTGAGGCCCCTAGTCAGAGGTACTTTCCCGGTCATGTCTATTTTCAGAGAAAAATGGCATATTGTGATGCTTACTGCTGTGCTATTACAGTGAGTCTCAAGGTAGGAAACAAAGCCTGAATTAGAATTCCACTAGATCGGGGCACGACCCCCAGCACCCTAAAGCTGAAAGCATCCTAAAACGAGGGTGTTTCATTACCTGCCTTTATCTTAAGGAGGATGAAGAGGAGGAAGGAGGCCCTGGGTGTGAGGGTCAGTGGGAGCAGAGGTCTCCGGACGCCTGCAGCTCATGTCCGACTTAGAGCATCATCGGGTAGAAGACAGGCTCCCACCCCCGCAGCCAACAGCTGGAGCAGGAAACAGGGTCACCTCTGAGCCAGTCAAGGGACTGGAACAGCCACCGCCCAGGCCCCTAGTCTGTTTTTATTAAGCCCTTAACACATGTGTAAGCCCGTGCTCATTGCTGTGCTAAAATCCGGTTTTCTCCATGTGGATATGCATGATCACACATGCCAGGTTTTTTCTGGGGCCTCCTCTGCCCGCTCCCCTATATAATCTCACACAGGGGGACACAGTTGTCCCTGCACTGACTCTGCCATGCTCCATCCATGTTCCATGGGTCAGCTACGCACTGGTGGCCCAGTCTGCATGTGTTTTTTTTTTTCTTCTTACTTAGTAATATCTTGCCTTGATACCTGGGTGCATATGTGTGTGTGTGTGTGTATGGGACACGGGCCCACATTTGTACGTGTGCTTGCATGTCTGTGTTGGAAAGGATGCTCCAGCCTCTGCCTCAGACTCTGCACCCATTGCAGACACCATGGACCACGAAGCAGGGTCTTCGTGACCTTTGGATTATACCGATTCCTATTCCTGTCTCTCTGGTTCTTGACCCCGTTTCCCATTATATGATGACACGGCCACTAGTGATGAATATAGTTGAGAGGTTAGGGCCATCAAGCCCCAGCACGGGCCACGGTGAGATTTCAAGAGCCACGATGTGATGTCAGCATCACGGCAGCACGTGTCAGCACAAGACAGTCCACAGAGGGAGCTTAAGTGGCTGAGGAGGCTATGGTCGGTGCCATGGAGAGGCGGATGGGGCTGTCTGAAGAGTTCCCACGGGGCAGATGGGATCAACCACACGGTGTGGCCGGCGGGAACAGGCATCTGGAGTCTGCGCGTGACTCTGCTCCACCGACACAGAGCACAGAACACTGCTCTGTGCTTTGGTTTTTCTGGTTGTCAAACAGAGCCAGTGACAGTACCCACCTCATCCTCTCTCACACACATTCACTGCAATCATCATTCTTATTTTTTTTCAATGCCTTTTTAAAATTTTTCATTTTTCATTTTTATTGAAATATAGTCAGTTTACAATGTTGTGTCGATCATTATTCTGATTTTCACCCAGAACTGGTATGTCCCAGGAACACAGGCTTCAGACACAAACAAAGGCTGTTTACACTGCAGAATCTCATATGACCGTTGGAGAGCAGTCCCGTGGCTAAAGGATGTCCATGATATGGTTTCAAAGAAAGCCCAGCTAAGCTGAGAAATCGTAATTCCCAAGCGAGAAATGGTTAACAGGCAAGATTTGATGAAAAGCTTTCGTAAAACTACATTTGGCCTGCTGATGGGTTAGCAGTCAACAGGTCTTTGCTTCTGAGCCTCTGAATCAATGAGATCAACTTACTTGCTATTATCTAGAGAAAAGTGCCCCCGAAGGCCTGAAGACAGGGATCAGGTTGGCTGCGGAAGAAACAGTCTCTTGGCGGTTGTTGAAAAATCAAAACTCGATTTCCAGATCCAGCTCCCAGAGAATCTAAGCTAGTGGTTTGTGATGGAGTCCGGGGTCTGTATTTTGATTAAGCTGCCCAGGTGATACTGGGGTGAAGTGAGGTTTGGGACTCACAGGACCAGGGCCTGGATGTCTTTCAAGATGTCCAGACATCTCAGAGAAGAAGGGAGTGGGACCGCGGCGTGAGACCCACGCACAGGGCCAGGGTAGGAGACTTTCTCACACAGTGCGACTCTAACTGGTTCTTTTTTGTATTTTCTATCTCTTTGCTGATATTCTGTGTTCATCCATTCTCCTCCTGCTTTTGGTGAGCATGGTTATGACGCTTCCTTTAAACGCTTTCTCTGGTGCATTGCTTATCTCTGTTTCATTTGGTTCTTCTTCTGGGGTTTTGTCTTGCTCTTTGGTTTGGATGGTGCTCCTTTGTCTCCTCCTTTTGCCCACTTCCCTCTGTTTGTTTCTCTGTATTAGGTACATCAGCTACTTCTGATCTTAAAGGAGTGGCCTTACGTGGCAGGTGTCCTGTGGGGCCCAGGGGCACAACATGCCCTGGTCACCGGGTTATCCCCTGTGTGGGTTGAGTCCGCCTCCTGTCGTGGGGCTGCGATTGCTGTGGGGGTGTGGCGGGTGGGCCTGGCTGCTACCTCTGGGGACACACTGACATGTGGGGCCAGCCCCCAGGGGTGGGAGCTGTTCTGAAGGGCACCGGTGTATAAAAATCTCTCCTGCCAGTCTTCAGGCCGTTCTCAGCGATAGTTGTGCTCTGTGAAGTTGCAGGTCTGTGTGTCCGTGGAGGAGAGGGGCTCCGGGGCTTCCAACTCCGCCATCTTGATCTGACCTGGGTGATGACTTTCATCTCTGGTCCAGAATCTCGCATCATGTTCTAGATTCTGATTTCTGGAGTTTCCAACCCCAGTCTGACAGGTAGACCCCAATCTTGTCTGCAAGATGATCCAGTGTGACACCTGGTCCTAGTCTGGGGTTATGTCTTCAACAGAAGACTGGGAGGAGAAATTGAGACTATGTCCTGGGTTTCTGAGAACACTGTTTTCCTCATTCCACTGCGGTGAGAGGGGCTGGGTAAATGGCAGATGTGACCTCAGACTGTGGCCATGACCTCCTGCCACAGGTCAGAGGTCAAGGCTCTCAGCCTCCAGCACAGGACATCTATGGCTGGACTGTTTGCCTATTATTTTTCTAGCTTACATTTATCTTATAATTTTCTATCCTGTCAGAAGCCTAGTTATTCCAGGAGTCAGTAAAACCTCTTCAAGCAAACGTGTGGCTGCTGTAA